AAAACTAAATCTAATTTTTTTCTATTAAAAATTAATTTTAAATAATCAAGCCTCTACTTGCCCCTATTTCATAATAAGTTAGCTGTTTTATTTATTTATTTATTTTTAATAGTCTGTTTTCTGAAGCCCATGCCTTTGGACACAATGGCAGAGAAACAAGCATGTTTCCTCTAAAATGTACAAAAAGCGCTAGTTAGGCATATTGTGCATGTTTACCCAAATATCACAAACCAGCATAACAAGCGTGTGCATAAAAGTGGATATCCTTTTGCATGTGTACTATTGTTTGCAACCCTCAGGCCTGTGTTTGAATACTATGCATCTAAATACTTTCTTTCAGATTACCGATGTCCATCAAACCGGTGTCAAAGATCTCAACAGCTTTGTTTTAGAGACACGGAGCAATCCATATGCATGTGCTTCTGTGTTTATCTGGGAGACACAAGCCTATAAATCATTCTTCAAAAATGACGAATTATGTCCTCTCCAGTGCTTGCACACATGTTCTACTCTCTTCCTCTCCCGCCAGTCATACCCCATTTCCCACCTCTAACCCTTCAAATGTTGTTCTTTATCAGTTGCATTTAAGCAAAGACAAAACTGAAGTGGCGTTAAATCAGACCAAAAGATTTTTTGCCTGGTAAACATCCATTTGGACCCATTGCTTCGTCTGTCTTTAAAGAATATTCACGATCTAATAATTTTTTTTAGCACAGATGGACTATCATGTTCTAGATGTATCAAAATGTACCTGAACTAAGGTTTTTAAAGCTTACCTTTAACCAAAAATGCATTTCTGTGTGCATTATCTACATGCTAGGCCATGGTGAGCCCTTTCCACAGAAGCATGAAGGAGAACTGAGTAAGAAGCTCATATGTTTCTCTAACGAAAAAAAGTAGCAAGAAAGAACCCTACTCAGTCAGCAACAGCAGCACTGCAACTAAAATATTTTCATACATATTCTACAAATTTGTTCAAAATTTGCTCTGAGAAATGAGGTTTTCCTCAAAACATCTTAAAGATTTCTGATGTAAAGCAGTATTCCTTTACGGCTGTTTCCATGTCATCTGAAGTTGCTTGTGATTATATGTGTCAGAAACATACCCTTTCCAACGCATCTAGGTTTAGACATCTCCAGCAGAAGCATTTTAGCACTTCGCTTGTACTAAGATTAAAATCATCAGGTCTCAAAAGCTTTTGCCATTTCGAGGTAAGAATCTGCTATGCACATTAGGCTTTCTAGATGAAGACTCCAAAATGACCAGGGTATTTGTGTCACCAATGAGATATTTTAAAAACATTTTAATAGAAGTCGATTGATAAAAGTGGATGGAAAAATCTAGATGAATGTTTCACGTTTTCTCTGACTAATTTTTAGGAGGATGGCTTTTTACCTCTGAAAGTTGTCCCATTAAAAATGTCCAAAATTTTTCTAAAAAACACAAGTCTTAAAAAAAATCAATAGTCTAACTCTTCAAAACATAAAGCTAGTTCTTGGCGGACAAAAATTAGTACTAATATTTTTATTAAAATATGTGGAAATGTATTTTAATGGAAAAAATGGAAGCTATCAAGAATTCTTTGCAAACCGTCCCCCATGTTTTCAGTAACTTCAAACAGCGCTCAAAAATTGGACCACCTGTAGATGTAACTAAATATATTGAAATTACATGCTCAAAATGCCTCTGAACACGCAATATAATCATTTACGTATTTCACATTCCCTTCTCCCAAATGCATACTTGTGTCGTACTTCAGTAACATACAGTATTTTGAGACAACAAATGTGAGATTATATATAATCAGTTCTAAGGAGTCATTGCA